GGAGAGCGCACCCAATGTGCATTTTATAATTATTGATGTCATTTAATGCCTACTTAAAAAATATAAGTAGGATAGGGCCTCCCCGGTGGCGCAGCGGTTGAGCGCTGGGTTGCGATGCTGCCCGCAGCCTCTGCAGTGCCGGTTCGATCCCCGGCTGCTCCCCGGCCACCAGAGGAGGGTCCCACATGGCGCGCTAGACCTCTCCTGCCGCCCGCTGCTCCCCTCAGCAGTGTACTTCTGTCCTTCTGCCTGTTCTGCATCCTGCTCTGACTCTGGTGAATTCTCTCACCCTCCCGTGCTTCTGACTATACCCAGTGCTTGTATAAATAAATAAATCTTAAAAAAAAAAAATTAAAAAAAAATGAGCAAACAAACAAAATTAAAAAAAAAAATATAAGTAGGATATTAAACTTGTGATTTCACAAATACTAATGGGCAGGCAGAGGTTAAGCTGAAAAAGGATTTCAAGTGAATTTAAAATATTAGGTGGTGATGTGAATATACGAAATGCCACTGAATTATACTTTTTTTTTTTTAAAGATTGATTTATTTATGCATACAAGAACTGGTGTATAAGCCAGATGTGCGGGGGGTGAAAGGAGTCACCAGAGAGTGGGGAGCAGGGGCCGCGACAGGAGAGGTCTGCTGCGCCATGTGGGTAGCTCCCTGGCCACTGGGCTGGCGATAGCTTGATAGCGCAGTTTTTAACCCCTGCGCCACCAGGATGGCACCCTGAATTGTACTCTTGAAAATGGTTGTTGAAGTAGAAAATTTGTTTTATGCATTTTACAATGAAAAAAAGAACATTGGGGCCTCCCCAGTGGTGCGGCAGTTAAGCGCTGGGTTGCGAAGCTGCCCGCATCCTCTGCAGCGCCAGTTCGATCCCCAGCTGCTGGGCGAGGGGCCCACATGGCGCTACAGACCTCTCCTGCAGCCCACTGCTCCCCTCAGCAGTTCGTCGTTCTGCCTGTTCTGCTCTCCTCTCTGGCTCTGGTAAATCTCTCACCCTCCCGCGCTTCTGACTGTACCCAGTGCTTATATGGATAAATAAATCTTTAAAAAAAAAGAACATTAGGCAAAGAATTGTTTGGGTGGTACCAGATCTAGGGAAGAAGTGTGGCACACTTGCACAGAAACTTACTGACCAACTATTTGGGAACCTTGCACAGAAAACTTACGGACCAGCTATTTGGGAGTACTGAGTTACCAGTGAACCTCTTAAACACCAAGACAGCTGCCAAGAATCACAGGGTCCCCCAAGTTTCCCTGACCAGAACCTCAAGGACAGAGCATAGTCCTGTGTGGTGAGACCGTGCTGGTTAACTGCCGCATGTTGATTTACTTCTATCATTACCTCACTTCCATCTCAGAAGTGGTTTAAGAGGAAGGACTGGGGGTCAGACAGACCTGCCTTGACTCTCGGGAACACCGTTTTCTCATAGGCAACCCAGTAGGAATAGTAGTTCCCACAGAACGTTATAAGGAGTGGAACACAGAATGTGCGTTAAGTGCTGGCCACAGCACTTGGATGGCGGTGAAGAGTCCGTGAACCCCCGGTCAGGACAATTACTGCAGATTGATGCAGTTTTGATTTTCAGTTAAATGCATTTTTAAGCAAGGAAGTGCATAATAAAGTAACCCTTAAGTACAAATTTGGGTGGACAAACATCTCCTAAACCCCAGTTTAGAACGTGCCTGAACAGCCAGTTGTTTTTGTTTTTGAGAGCAAGTGGACACTATCCAACAAGGAACCACAGCCTGGCAGATGCTGGGTTAAATCTAGTCTGAAAGGCTTCTTTATGACCCGATTTCTCAGAGCCGGGAGTGACTTACACTGCTACACGGTGGGAGAATATAGCAGACCTCTGACTTCTCACAGAACATTTTGCGGGCTAGCGCTTGGCAAACCCCACTGGGAAATGCTACCCACAGACACACCACAGAGGGATGGGGCAGAAAGGGAGGTGGCTGGGCTGGCCTCCCTCCCACAGCCAGGTGCTGGCTGCCTGACTCAGACACCTGCTCGCCAGGGCTGGCAGTGAGTGAGGGTGTGGTGGCAGCAAAGGTGCTGGCGAGGAGCAGACAAATTATACTTGAGCCAGAGGGCCTGAGCGGCACCGACTAGTAAACCCAAGGAATCTGGACATGCGCTGGCCTGGGGCACCACAGGTCTAGCGAGGGAGGGTGGCCTGGGATGCCTGGCACGGGAACCGTGTGGCACCGGGAAAGGATTTGGGCTCACAGGCCTGTGGTGTGGCAGCCACTACTGAGAACAGAAGCAGCACAAAAATGGATGGCAGAGAAGCATTTTCATAGCAGGGAGGTGACAGAATAGAGGATGATGGAGAATACAATGTTCTGAGAGCAATGACATTTCCCCCCCGCAGAGCGCTGGGTGAGTTCAGTTGCATACCAACAGGTAAACTCCGCTGGGGTGCCCCGCCTTCTTTGGGAATAGGAACAAGAACCCAGGCAGCCCCAAGGACACACTGCACGCACAATCAATAACTGAAGACAACATCAGTTCTTCTCAAACAGTTTAATAGCAAATAAACAAAGGAAGGTACCACACTTGGCAGATACAAAATGACTTTTTGTCTGTGTGTCTGTGCAATTAAAACAGATTTAGGTTCCCCATTTGGGACAAAAGGAAAAACACACAAAAAAAGGAAAGATTCCTTTTAAACACATACTCCCTTGCTCCAAACTTGTAACAATTTTTTTTTTTCATTTTTAATCCACTACACAAACTCTGTGATCAGGTCAGAAAAGCGACAAGGGCTCTTCTTGCCTTTTTTTTTTTTTTAAACCATTAAAGTAAAATCCATAATTTTCTACATAGTACAACACAAGTTCACACAAAAAAGACATCTTCTTTTGCAAATCAAAACAGGAAAGAAAGGAAAAGCTCAAACAAGGTAAAGGAAAAGCATTTCTACGGCTGAATCACGACTTTGAGTTGATTGAATCCCGTTGCTGCAGAACAGACTGTGCGTTTGGTCATAGTGGCAATTTTTTCTCTTCACATTGTGAAATCACTTTACATTGTTTTCTAGTAGAAAAGGCAAAAAACTGTACAAAACCCCTAGTGTTAAATACAACGTTTGTACCAATAAAAAACTCACACAGGTTTGTCTCCAAAATGTAAAGTTTCTTTTTTTTTTTTCTTTTTAAATTATTCACAAAAAGCAGCTGGAAATCAGAAAGGCAGCTGCCGCTCCAGGGTCTCAAATCCATTAAAACCACCACAGAACAATTAAAACAATCAGAGAGAGAAAAGGAAAAGGAGACAGCGTCCAACGTTTGGCATTTGGTTTTATCCACAGGTTTTCCCAGAGCTCCTCTTGGAATTGAAAGCAAAATATATTGGCAAACACGAATTCTGAATACACAGGAAGGGGAGCCTCGGCGCCTTCTGCCAACAGAGGCGGCTCTGTGCAGTCAGACTGTGGGTGCACGGCAGTCTCGCTCAGGCTGGGGTTCCTGGCCTCTCTCCATCCAATCACCCCTTCCAGGAGATTAAGCAGCCTACCGTACACTGGGCCTCCATCTGGCCACCCTTTCCTCCTAGCATGAGTGGCCTCAAGCATAATACTAGGCAACCCATTGGGTCCCAGAGCAGAAATTCTGGTGGGATCCCTTCCTCCATCAAGCCCAGCATGGATGATGCTAACAGTGCTTCTACCTTCCCCGCCCCCACCCCCCCAGTCCCTCGGCTCCGCCTCTCCACCTCTCCCAGGACAATCCTACTTCCCAGCTGTCCCATGCATCAGCAGCTTAGGCCTGGGTGGGATCGATCACAAACTCCTCCCTCTGCCACCTCTTACTTCCAAAGATCCGTCCTGTGACCTCTCATCTCCACTGGCCTCTCGCACTTATTCTTACTCAAGTCCCTAAGACCCTGAGGCTGGATGGTGCCACAAGAGAGGAGGGCAAGTTCCCCTCAGGGAACCAAGGAACAGGCTTGCCTGCACCCAGGGACAGTAGCTATTTGGCTCTTCACCCAATTAAAAAAAGATACAAATCCCTGCCCTTACCCCACCCCACTAGCTAAGCAAGAGCAGAGCTGTGGTGAAGAGCCAGCGTGGGGTGGTTGGTGCCCAGGGCTGTAAACAGTGTGAAGACTGTGGTATTGTGCTTGTCACCTAGAAAGGCGGTGGCAGGTGGGTTGCCGCTTAGTGCGCAGATGGCCTCCTCCAAGTGGTTAAGAGCACTCTCCTTCTTCCAGGCCGAGGGGTGCTCATTACCCCTAACGCGCTAAGCTTCTCTCCCACCCCCCAGCCACCTTCTGAGTCCTATCTCTGCTCCTCAAGCCTCTCCAGGCCCTCTGCCCACCCATCTCTGAGCAGAGCAGCCAGCCTCCTGGAGGCCCCACAGAGGCCTGGAGGCCACATGAGGTGACAGTCTAAGTGCACAGGCTAACGCTCTACAGGCAAGAGAGGAGAAAGTTGCCACTTCAAAATAAAACAATACAATCTCGAAAAAAATAACCCCACAACAATTTAAAACAGCTTCTTTGAAACCCTTTTAAATCGATCAGTTTTTGCACAAACTATAGAAAACAGAGAGGTGAAGGTGATATATATATATAGAGAGAGATATATATACGAAGGTGTGAAGAAACAGCAGGAAACATGCAAAACTTGTTTTTTTCTGGGCATCATCTTAGTAGGAAAGGAAAAAATTCAACACAAAAACAATACAAAAAAAAAAAATCAAAGCATCACATTTTGCTGTGGAGACTGTAGGAACAAGCATGGAGGTGGGCATGGCGGGGCTGAGGGGAAGGAATGAGGGGAATCGGAAGGCTCCCTGCAGGGTCACTACAGGGAGGAACCACCAAAGAAAAAGGGCTAGCTGGGGCTCAAGCTGCAGTCCGCAGTCAAAAAAGGAAGAGGTTCAGGTGTTTTCTGCAGTTGCAAACTCGAAAAACAAAAACAAGAACACATGCGGTCTCCTCAAGCCCCACAAACTGTATCAGCAAAATGTGCTCAGGAGCCTCAAAGGTTTTAGTGACATCTTTTATTTCATTGTTTACTTCAAAGTTGTCTTTAAAACTAAGCACACAGAAACAAAGCCTAGAAACGGACTGGCTGTGTGTTCACAGAAATACAAACACCACGCGGTATGTGCTAGTAGGGCTGCTCTGAAGACAATTACAAAGAATTGGAATCACAAAATCAAGTGGTTATCTTATGAAGTTCTAGAAAAATAGATTTTTTTTTTATATTCAAATGCAAGTTTAAATATTTCCCCTTCAGCAGTCGTTCTAGCAAAACCAATTTGGCAGCACAAAAGAAAAAAAAAAAGGAAAGAAAAAGAAAAAACAAAGAAAGAAACAAACATAATAAAAATACACGTCAGCATCAAAGGTCAACACAAGGTCAAAGGTGAGAGTTCAAGCATCAGAGAAGCTGAAGAGACAGGGATTTGGACGATGTACTTGACGCCACATCGACATGCTTTAGGCACAACGATGAACAAACGGCAGGAATCTAGAAAAAAAAACAAACCAGAAAGAGGGAGACCCACTGAGTTACACAGAGCAATACATCCAAACAGAGAGAGAGAACAGGAACACTCACTGTGTACAGCCCTGAAATGAGGAGGCGGGCGGGGCAGGGGCTGGGTGATGACAGGGAACTTTTGCACATGCTAACAATGGACACAGGGAAAAGTCAAAAAGGACATGAGGACACCAAGAAAACATCCAACTGCCAGAGACAGAAGGGAACCTAAGGCTTGGATTTCCCCCGAAGCCTGAACTCGGCTGAGAAGGGTTCCGGTGGAGCAGAGCCTCAGACTGTCCCCTCAACCCCTGGTCCAGACCCAGGGAGAGAGCAGCAGATGCTGGCAGTGGGTGGGCAGAAGGCTTTAGGGCCAGGGCCAGGATTTCTCCTCAGTCCTATGGGGGTGGCCCTTTGCTCCCAGAAATCCAAGCTCTTAGCTTCCACGCAGGCCCTGGCCACTCATGTGGAACCCAGGATACAGTGTCGGGCTGCATTCAAGGCAAATCGATTTCACCATGAAATCCAAGGAAAACAAAAAACTACAGCAGAAAACACATTTATGTAAGTGAAACCCCCACACAACAGAAAAGGATTGCTTAAGACTTGACTGCTAGTCTCCATTCTCCGAGCTGAACCCTTTCACACTGTGAGACTTGTAGGGGAGCAGCTTCTTCACAAAACCATCTTTGGCCTGGGGAGAGAACTGTGCTCAAGGGCAGTGCCACTGTGCTAACTCACTGGGCAGGGAGAGAAGAGAAGAGAGAGAAGTGCATGGTCTCACCAGCTGGCCACTCTGGCAGCCAGGGCCCTGCTATGGCCCACACTCCTTGGGAAAAAAAAAAAAAAAGAGGACCCACAAGCACATAAGAAACCTCGGGGTCTGATAGCAAAAGTGAGCTGATCACACCTTTGCCTTTCATGCCATTTGGAAACGGGTTTCATAAGGACCCAGAGACCAGGACAAATAGGTGGATAAACAATGGTGTAATGGGGGAGGGAGGAGAAAAGGGACAAAGTGGGAACAGAGTGGAGTTCTGGGCTTTGGAAACCCCATGATGGCCAAGGAGGAAGACAGAACAGAGGGTCAGCCATCACAGCACCGGCAACACCCCGGGGAGCACAGCTCTCTCCTCTGCCAGTTCACAGCATTAACTCCTTTCCCCTCTGGCAGATTAGCTGGGCTGCAAATGGGCCACAGAAAGTCAGTAGTTTCAATCATACACAGCACCCTGTGTGTACAACAATCACATTCTGGATTCTACAAAATCCTGGCCTTTTCCAGAGATATAATTTAGGTAATAAATATTCTCCACCCCGGAGCTGTATAAAACTTCTATAAAAATAGAAACGACATTCTTGGTTCCAGCTGGTTGGGATTCAGAACAGCGCCTCCCCAACCTAGCATTTTTTTCTTTTTTTGTTTTCTTTTTTCATTTTTATTTTTATTTTTTGCATTTATTTAAAAAATTCCATCATGACCCTGGAAGCCTTTGGAACAGTTTTATCCTTGAAACACAGGACACATTTCTCCCAGTGCGCAGAATTCAAGTTTACGTGGTTCAGCTTAAGAAGTATGTATGTTTCGTGTTTCTTAGAGGACAACGGACCCAAGTTATCGCTGTGAGAAGGGAACAGCTGTCCCAGTTTCAATGGGATAATCCAACACCACCGACTACCTGTATACCAGCAAGACAGTCAATCCCTGCCTGTCATCCAAATGGACAGCATGACAAGGAGCGAGGCCCCTCTGACTTAACAGCAAACCAACCCATTTAATCTCATCTCTGCTGCTAGGGGTCAGGACTGATGTTCGTGAGGTTTAAGATCCCAGAGACCCAGCCCTGGCCTTGGCAAAGAGTCATATCCTGAGAGGGCTACCCCTACCAGGTGCACAGTCCCAAAAGCCTGTCCTCCCTGGCTGTCTACCCCCAGCGTTTCTTGGAGCAGAGGCAGAGCCCAGAGGCCATGTGGGTCACAGGCAAGAGCTGGAGTGAGTTCTGTGGGAGGCAGCAGGGAGCTAACTGTAAGCACGAGGACAAAAATGAACACAGTAATACTGAGGTAAATGAACACTAAATTCATATGGAGGCTGTAAACGTCCTGTCATCTTCTCTGTCCCCAAGAGCAGAAGATGAGGCTGCAGTGGAGCTGAAGTGGTTTTAGGGGCCTGCCTTGGAGGGAAAACTACACTGGAACATCTCAACCAGGCAAGCAAGTATGGATTTCTTAGTCCTTTTAAGCATTAAGTGCTGGTCACTGGCAAATACAGCACTGTGGCAGAGGGGCTTCTGATCAGGTAAGCCAAGAAGCAGGCTTCCCCTTCCCCAATTCAATGTCTTTTGATCGCTCTGCTCAGGAAAAGGGGCCCCTTCAGCCAGAAACTACTCAGATGTGCCCTCATAAGAAAATTGGGCTTGGCAGTGACGCTCTCTGGTGTCTGGTGGTCAACTACAAGGAAGGAAACCAGTGTCTTCCCTACAGGCATTTTTCAAAGGGATGTGGTAGAAATGAGCCATGGTCTAATAAATAATTTGGTGGTGAAATAAATTAGAAAGGACCACTTTGACCAGTCAGGCAGGGCCAACTCAAAACCAATGGCTGGCTAAGAAAGCAGGTAATGGGTGATGGCTCCCTGCTCTTGGCATATGCCAGGCTAATTTAACAGGTGCTTTATTTCCAAGAATTGTTAACCCCCTATTCTTGGGAAAGGGGACAGAAATCCTGGACAAGAATTCGAAAACTAGGAGGCAAGAATTCATTATCTCCACCTAGAAGGCAGCAATGGAGAAGTCTCAGCCTTCACCTCCCAGGGCCACTGGATGTCAGTCACTCTCACTCTCCTCCAGAGTCAACCCCACCGCTCTGCCCCCCAGTGCCTGCACATCAGTTCTCCATTTCACCCACTCTCTGGAGTAGGTGGTTCTGGAGGGCATTTTCAGTTTCATTCGGTCCTCTCTCTTGGGTAGTTTGGGGCAAGTTCTCATCTTTTTAAATGTTTGTCCACTCTCCCTCCACCCCCAGGGCAGTTTGATGTTGGTCCTTCTCAACACACACTGGTTACAAACACGGCAAACTTTAAATAAAGAGGGGGAAAAAAAAAAAAACTCAGGATATGGCACCTAAACTCCAAAGTAAAACACTGGAAACCAAAGCACAAACTCGTCCTCTGTACGAAGCGAAACTCCCACAGAAGGCAGTAGCCGAGTCTTCTGGGCAAGCTGTGCCTGCGAGAGTGGCAGGGATCAGGGTCCAGGGCTGTCAACACACAGCTTTAGGGCTTCGAATCATTAAGGGTGCTCCTCCCCCACTTACCAGAAGACCCTCTCACTCCAGTCTCAGAGGGGAGCACGCTCAGTAGGGCTTGCTGTCATTCTTCGAACGTTTGAGCTGCACTTTAAGCCGCTTCATGCCAATCTGAAAGCCATTCATGGACTGGATGGCAGCTTGAGCCGAAACAGGATTGTCGTAACTTACAAAACCTGTGTGTCCAAGCAGAAACCTAGGTAAGGGACATAACCAGGCAAGGAGATTCTCAGTCCTCCTCAGGCAGGAGATACTTTTATGAGCTTAAACCTAAAAATCCCAATTTTTCTCAGCAGGGATAAGAATCCTGGAAATTCTACCACATGAAATAAATTAGGTTCCCAGTAATACTACCATTTAAAATCTACATGGTATTTTTAAGCTTTCTTGCCAACTCACATTCTCCATATACTACTTTATGTTTACCCCTGGGGCCACAGAATAGACATCATCATCCCTACTACAGAAATTAAATCTCTAAGGTTCAAAAGGGTCATGTAATCTGCTCAAGGCAGAGTTAGACAGCAACCCAAACTCAAACCCACCTTTTCAGCTATCAGCCCCTCCTCTTTCTCAGTGGTAAAAGGTATTTAACCCACATACCCAGGCCAGCACATCCGTGGAGAAGCCAACATACCAAAACACTTGCTCAGGTTTGTTTGCTTGTCTATAAAAACCTTGGCGGACACGACATTCCCAAAGGGCATAAACATCTGCAGCAGGTCCTGGTCTCCGAACTCCTGGGGCAGATGGTAGATGAACAGGTTGGCTCCCTCTGGACCTTCAAAATACCCATCAATTGAAAAAGTATCAGTGTCAAGCACACTCACCCCCTGTCACCAGCCGTTCATTTCTACCCATGTTCAAACTATCAGCATCCCAACAAAGTGAGTTTCCTGGGGAGAATGACAGTCTCTGAATAGGAAGCAGAGTAGTGAAGGACCATCAATGAAATAAATTCCTTCCTCCATCAGCCTTCCTCTCCCCTCCCAGTGAGGGTCATTAGAATTCGAACTTGTGGGCCTCCCCGGTGGCGCAGCGGTTGAGCGCTGGGTTGCTAAGCTGCCCGCGGCCTCTGTGGCGCCAGTTCAATCCCCGGCTGCTCCCCGGTCACTGGAGGAGGGTCCCACATGGCGCGCAGACCTCTCCTGCCACCCGCTGCTCCCCTCAGCAGTGTACTTCGGTCCTTCTGCCTGCTCTGCTCCCCGCTCTGGCTCTGGTGAATCCTCTCACCCTCCCGTGCTTCTGACTGTACCCAGTGCATGTACAAACAAACAAACAAACAAATAAATAAATAAATACATGCCTCTTTAAAAAAAAAAAAAAAAGAATTCGAACTTGTGATCAGAGGGTATGCTGGGGTACTAAAACAGGCAGACTTGTAGACTTGTATGCGGAGCAATTAAATTCAGAATAGTGTCTCATAGAGGAACACACACAGAAAAAGAGGTAGAGAGAGTTTATAAAGAGGTCTCCCAATTGTGCCTAGGAATTACCAGCAGACAGACTAGTAGTTACCAAGGCAGGAGGTGGGGACAAGGAATGACTACAAAGGGAAGAGGGAATTTCTGGGGGCAATGGAAACCTTCATCTATGTTAATCTTATCTACAGTGAAGGTGGAACATGACTGGCAGTGTTTGCCAAAGCTCTCAGAGTTAGATTTCAAAAAGGGTGGTGAATTTTACCATATATAAATTGTGCCTTGGTAAAAAGTTGTATTTTAAAAACATGCCTATGATGAATACTGAGCTCAAAAATAGAACATGCTTTCCTTTCCAACCACTTACACTCAAGAACTGAGTTTTATTACAATTGCAATCCAGCCACTCTCCAGTCACCCACGACCCTCTTCTGCCACCAAACACATTAGGGAACACTGCTGCCACTGCACTTGTCATTCCTCTACCCCCATTCCTCTTCTTCCTCTAGTTACATTAGCTACAAGCTTGGCCATCCTCCTTCCTTTCTTCCAGTGTCTGCATCAACAGCAACTAGAGAGACCATGCTACATAAAATGCCCTAACTCCAGTACTCCCTTTTCTTTCCTCTTCATCGTTCTTCAGAGCATCATCTTGGAACACCTCACATTTTTACCTGCCTATTGTCTGCTGCCATAGTTCCATCCACTCCCCCATTATTGTATCCTAATGCACACAAGTACCTCATTCAGAGCAGGTGAGGATGCACTAGACCAGAACTCTTCCCTGCAATGGCAAGGGAGAAGATTTGTTTTTGTTTTTTTAAAGATTTATTTATTTATTTATACAAGAACTGGGGTACAGGCCAGATGCGCAGGAGGGTGAGAGGATTCACAGAGACAGAGGGGAACAGAACAGGCAGACTGACGAAATACACTGCTGAGAGGAGCAGCAGGCACGACAGGAGAGGTCTGCTGCGCCATGTGGGACCCCCGTCGACTGGTCGGGATCAAGATGGCACTGCAGAGGCTGCAGACAGCTTCACAGCGCAGCGCTCAACCGCCTGCGCCACCAGAGGAGGCCCAGAAGACTTGTTTTTTTCCCTCCACACTAGTGGCTTAAACCTTTGCCAGTTCCTAATCATAAAAATCTACTCAAATGTGAACACAAAGGTGTTAGCAGAACTTTCTATTCCTACAAACCATTCAGGCCTCTCTGCCTGAAAATCCTGTCCTGAACTCATTATCATTTATGTCAAAGCACATGCTTCCTATGCCATCAACCATAGGAATAGATCTTCTCATTTCCCTTCAGTCTGACCTCAAGAAGGAAAGGCACAGATCAGAAAGTGGGGGAAATCACAAATGAAAGTCGGGGAGAGCTAAAAGGGATACCTAGGCAGAAGATATCCTGACAGAGAACTCCTAACAAAAACAGATTGTCAAATGATACCTGACACAGAGATCAGTGTATTTCTTTATCTAAAAACCACAGTCCCAACCAAAGATGGCGTACAGGGCTCTGATCTGAACCACATCCAAAAAAATATGCCAAAAGCAGATCACAATTTGCAGAGCTAAAAAAAAGTGTTGGTCTGACCACTTAAGTGGTTCTCTTAGCCTTTATCCTGCCTTTCCATTCTGGCACATGTACAGATGGAGTAACGACCCCTGCCCCTGATTCCCATTGCATTCACCTTCCTTCTGGCTTCCAGCAGCACCAATACTCTGCTGTGTCAAGAGATTCTGGTTGTATAAAGTGGGGAGCGCTGCAGCAGCATATTGCTGGATCCCGGAGTAGGCCTGTGTGAGTGCTTCCATGGTGCTCCCAGTGCCGTTGGAGAGGCCGCTACTGCCTAGGCCACCATTTAAAGCAGCCATCCCTTGGTTGTGGGAAAGAACAGTATTAACAGATTAGTAAGACTCAAATGATGCCAAAGACAGGTACACTGAGGGACATACAGAAAAGGGAAATATACAAAGATCTCCCTTCCAGTGTCTAAAGACAAATACCCATCTGACTGGTCAGATTTCAGGGCACTCACCAGGCCTGTTTGCTAATGGGGACATTATAAAATGCCGCACTTAGGTATGGTTCTCCCTAGTACCTTCTTCCAACCTGTGCAAGTGACATCATGTATACATGACTCTCCACTTCCTCACACAGAGCTGGAGTGTGCTTAACTAACAGTCTCACAGAATTGGGGACTCACCATGGAGCATGCAGCCTATGACAAGATGTGGATAAATCCCACCACCAAACAGCAGCTAACACTGTGCAGTCTAACATGCCAGACACTGTCCCAGGCAACGTGCCCAGCACGCAGTCTATGTTTTCATTTAACTTCTTAACAACCCTCAAAGCATTCTATTCCCACTTCATAGATGAAAATATGACTTTAGAAAGACAGCACAAAGTTACAGCTAGTAAAGGGCAGGGTTATTTAAAATGTGCCACAGCACAAAGAATGGCTTGCTGACATACAGAAGCTGCCCTTTACCTGCCAAAGAGCTGACATTGAGGCCTGCTGTTGCTCCAGCCAGGGTCTGCAGGGCTCCAAGGGAGGCAATGGGGTTAACAGAGCTGCTGCTGCTCGAGCTCGGTGAAGACCCTGCTGTCAAAAAATTATGAGTTATAAACTCAAGCCCAATACTCACCTGCTTGAGTCATCAGGAACCAAAGCACAAGAGTGATACTATTCAAGTATTTTCTTCATAAAGAGGTTTTCAGAGATTAATTTTAAAAACTGTCCAGTGAGACAGAGTCAAATGATGGCTACCACAAAGTAAAAATGATGAACTTCTCTGAAGTCAGAAGGTAACATTTGAAAATGTGTTGTTCATAACCTGACCCCTTTGAAAATAAATGTTCACTACTTTCCAGTATGACATACACCTCTCATTGGATTCTGCCCCAGGCACACAGGGCGCACTGGTTCCGAGCAAGTGCTTACCTGAACTGGTGAGTACGCTGAGGGGACTGCTGGATGTAGTGAGAGCATTGGTACCACTTGGTGTGTTCTGAGCTGCGCTAGCTGCAGCAGCTAGTGCAGCCAAATTCTGCAACTGCATTGCATTTAATCCTGCAACATCCAAAGCAAGAGATCAGCTGCAGAAAAGGGTGCCTCATATCTGCTCCAGTAATGACAGCGCACACTGGCAGGAGGCTGGTCCCAGAAAAAGAGGAATTGTTCTAGATAAGCTTTGTAAGCAATACTATAGAACTCCAAAATGATTCAGATACCACTGAATTCATTAAGAAACCTCACATTATTTCCTCAAAGAGATATCTAATCCAACAGCAGGCCACCCCAAGTGAGCAGTATTAAGGGATGAGCAATTAGGAAACCAAGAAAGAAGGTAAATCTGTGGTCTATCCTGGGGGCCAGGTGACCAAGAGAATAACAAAGCCAAAACCTGAGGCACAGAAAGGGACTTCATCTGAGACACTCACTAATACTTTAAAGGAGTTGTTCTTTGAAATGGGAACAAACGAGCAAAAAAATGTAGCAGAGATTCAGAAAGACAAGGCAGGAACAACTGGGGAGAAGACATGTGAGAACAGCAATCGGAGACAGAATAAAGGAAAACTACCACTTGAATAGCAGATTAATCATCAGAAGAGATAAAAAACGCTAATAGAAAAAAAGAGATCCAAGTAAAACTAGGCAACACTGTTCAAAAGAGAGCAAGAAATTTGAACCACACTGATACTGTGTTGCAAACCATTTACCAGATGATGGTAAGACAGATGGGGTGGGGGGTAGAGCTAATGGGAATAAAAACACAGATTTCAATCTAGCAACTTTAAAAAATCACAGCAAACTCTATGTCCCTGGGACAAAATGAACCAGTATTAAAATTTCTCCAACAGCAAATTGCAACTCATCTAACACTGCCCCTTTCTCAAAGACTCTTGCCCAGTCCCATCCCACCCCAGCAGGATCAGGGCAGGCAGTTCTGAGCTGCTCCACACCCTATCCCCCCCAAACTTCTGACGGCCTCTGCCTCAGTTTTCCTATGGAACCCTACAAACTCAGGAATTGGTCAATTAAGTTTCCTACATGTTAACGGCAACAAAAGATAATTCACATAAGAAATAACATACATAAGGTACAGAGATAAATTAACAGTCTGGGTTCTAACAGCTTCAGGGTAAGCCATTTTACATGGAAGTCATCTTAGGTTTTTTTCTTGAGTCACTGAGAAAGTCACTTTATTGTGGGTCCAATTTTCTCTTTATCAAAATGACCTCATAGAGTTCATAGGTGGAATAGTTCTTTTCCATCTTGTTCATCAATAGAGACTTAAAGGGGTAGGAAGCTGCAAACTTAAGTGCAACTATCAACTACTGATAGAGCCACCTTCTAGAAAGAAACAAAACAGGCAAGAATGGGGATTCTTCTATCAGGTTACATAATGAGTAGGGAAATTTTTTTCTGCATAACGGTGCAAAACTCTCAGGCTGTTGTTAGCTGGGTCTGTTGGCCTGGCTGCTGCTGCTCCTCTGCAGCAGTGGAACACTTACCTCCCATTGGGTGGAGGCTGCTCAGGGTGTTGAGGTTCCCAGAGGAGGCAGTCTGCTGAAGGAGCTGCAAATAAAGCTAGACATTACACCAAAAAACAGAACAAGAGTGAGAGTGAGGGCTGGTTCTGCATCTGGGATAACTCTACAGCACAGCAAAGCGAGAGTGCAGAGGCCCCCAGAGAGAAGAAAGTTGAAGACAAGATCCCAAGCCAGCACAACAGAAACACGAGGCTTTTAACAGCACAGTACAAGACAACACAGCTAAACCCTGGCCCAGAAGACAGTTAGGTTTGCTGAGTACTGCACCAAGCTCAAGTCGCTGGACAGCAGAATGCAGCACAGCTCAGGCCAGAACCAGAGCAGGGAACTAAGCTCAACTCAGGCAAAGATGCAGTTGACTGTGATGTGTCTGCATGTAATAGCTGTGTCTAGGTCGAGTCTCCTTACGAGGGCCCACACATTTTATTTTGCAGATTGTTTCCATGTAGATACTCAATTTCCTCTTCATGTAACTATTTTAAATGTCAAATCTGATCATTTCAGCGTATGTCTTGGAGTCACCCTGTACTGGCCACCAACAGACCCATGACTAGATTGATCAATCTCATGCTACACATCTATCAATCCCATGTATCTCCGTCCCTCCAAACTGATCTTTACTGTTGCACATGACCCAATGATGGATCAGTCCATACCAGTTCAGTGGACATTGTCATTCAACAGTTGTCCCATCAACAAAATACGAGCATCTGTCTGTGAGCTTACTGATCTCTATGAACACAATCTTACAAACCAAAACCTTCATCTAACCAAGCTGCTGAAAATGTTTATTCCACTCAAACACAGTCACTGTTAGTTAAGGACAACTTAGTATTGTTTCTGGATCCTTTATTCAACCTATTGCCCATTCCCAAAAATATATAACCTGGCTCCTCTGCCATTATTGTCATAATCCACATGGGGTTTCACGAGGGTCACAAACCTCCATAAGTAGAAAGAAAAAATATGCACACACACAATTTTTACCAGCTTCTCAATGGAATCCACAACTCCAGTGAGATTAAGAACCACTGTTCTAATGCTGTAGAGATCAGGCTCACATGCTTCTATTTCAGAAAGAACCTCATAATTGTGCTATCACTTATACAGTCCACTAATACCTACATGTCTGTGTTCAGTCCCAACTGGAGACGGTGCATATTGTACTTGGCACCTTCATTCCCTCCCTAAAGAAGAACTCTTAGGGCTGGGAACCATGCCTAACAGAAACAAAGATATCACAGCCCCAACATTTACCACCATGTATGTGGTGCATATGTCAATGACAACAGGAAGGGAAGTTTACCCTAAAGAGAGGATCCAAGACTCTTTAAGAAAAGCAAATGCACATCATGAGGTGACATTCAAAGCATTATTTTGGCAGGAGACGGCAATCTCTCTACTCTAATTTTCTGAATTTACAAGCAATATTCTTAACACTAGAAACTATTAAATCTGTTGAAATATAACTGCCATCTATACATTTTAACTTTAGAGAAATACCAGCTAGTGTAAAACAGAATGGTGTGCGATCACGTAGTGATATGTTCTTCTAACATTTCAGAAATCAAATTAAGCAGGGGGCATCAAATTAACCAAAACTCAGTACCGGGACATAGAAATCACTGCCTTTCTTCTATTTCTATATAAAATAAAATTTTAAAGGGTGAGGAGTGAATGACTCCTCAGAATTATTCTTATGTGTGTATTTTTTGACTATCCATACAAATCTAGTGGTGTCACTATTTATTTTCCTTCACTGGTAGCTTCATAGATGACCTTTGTTTCTATTCACAGATGCAACAGCCTTGATACAACAGCCTTAAATGCCTTGTGCTGTCTGTAATTCTTTTAAGGTTAAAAGCAGTAATAACACCCTATAATATTTATTGCAGACCTAGTGAATCTAAATTAAAAATTGGAGCCTGTCCCTCTTTGGACTGTATGACTAAAGCTCATGGGGAGAGATCAAATTAAAGGATTCCTTATTACAATGTTGTAAACTCAAATATATACCTGTAATACTCAAGTGAATGATGCTCATGTTAATCTTTTGACCTCTCAGGCAGCGGGAAGAAATATATACTCTTCAGGAAAGACTCAATACAGATTTTAATAATGCCCTCTGTATATGGTAGAAAGATATGGAGAACAGTATTTGGTAGCAAAAATCCTTCAGGATTTTTTCCACTTGGGGGCAGGGACACGGGAGTTGTTCTAAATCTCTTTATCAGGAAATTAGAATTTCACTTTAATTGTAGCTGAAGCCTCAAGATGTAACCCAAGATGGGGGGGTTGGAAGGGGGGGGAGAGAAATTCACTAACACAAATAGAAGAATACTTCATTGCCTGAATTTTTACATGAAATTTCAATATGCCAAAGTTGTAAATGCCATTGTGTTTGTTAGCTAGGGACAGCAGAAAAAGAAACAGCTGGGAGCTTGCACAGTCTGCAGAAAGCAAACCACAAAGACTCACTGCTAAATACTGGGGTCCAAGAGTATTTAGACCAGCAAGGTTTCCCCACACAGATGCTGCGCTGATTTGCTGCATCTGCTGTTGGAGCTGCTGGGCCATTCTCTTCTGTTCTTTGTCCTTCTGCGTATCAGCAAATTTTACCACCATGGGGGATGAGCAACCCTATGAAAACACCAAAACCAAAGGGTCAAATGCCTCCTTCTGGGTGAAGAAAAATCCTCTCTTCTGGTGATATGCAGGTAGCAATTATTATTTTATTCACTGCCAAAAGACTCTCTCTCTCCCTGATAGAATTCAGTGACAAAAGAACTGAAAAGAACAACTACTTCCAAAATGTTAAGTTAAAAATTTTAACTTTAAGCTTAAAATGTCTAGTCTACTTAACTTTTAGGCCAATCAGATGTATACCTGCTGCTGGACTTCGATCAACTGTCCTAGCATTCTCTGACCAAGAAACCTTCCCCCCTTTCAGTCATCTGCTCCCTACCTCCATGGTCTGTGCTTGGTGCATTGCCTTGATAGCTGTCTGTGCCATGGCTCGTGTTGTAAAGGTCACAAACGCACAACCTGGTAAGAGAAGGGTCAAGAGAAGGGTCATTTAATTCATTTGCTTATTTATCTAATGGACATTTACTGAGAACCTATATACCAAAGTTCATGCTAGCCATACAAACAGATTCTGCCTTCATGGTTCATGAACCAGTGGATGAGATAGACATGTCACAACAGATGATAAGTGCTTTAATTAAAAACTAGAGAAGCACAAACAGAAAATAAAGTACTTGAGGGATAAAGGAGGAAGCACATTCTCTAGTTCTCTTTCTTGAGAAGGAAGTGTTTCCACTTGGGCATCAAGTACCTCTCCACGCACAAAAAAAAAAAAAAAAAAAAAAAGAATTTCAACATGAGATATAGAAGTGCAGACTCCTTAGTGGAGCTGAGCAAATACTAAAGGTGTCAACTGGTAGGAGTAGTTGTTGACAGGACCTAGATATACAACACCATACCCAATCTCTAGCCCATGTGGGCTAATAAACACTGGTTCCCACTAGTTAAATTAAAGAGAGACTTCAGGGCCTCCCTGATGGTGCTGGGATTAAAGTCTCAGCGCTATCAAGCTATTTATGGTCAGCCACTGCAGCATGAGTTCAATCCCTGGCCAGGGAAGTGACCCTTTTGGCCAGCAGACCGCTCCTATCTCGCCCACTGCTCCCCTCAGCAGTATATTTCAGTGGATCCACCTGTTCTGCTCCCCAGTCTAGTGAATTCTCTCACCCCCCACACCTCTGGCTTACACCCCAGTTCTTATATACATAAATAAAAATAAATCTTAAAAAAATAAACAAAAAGAGATGCCAAATTTAAGACAGGTATCTTTATTTTTTTTTTTAAAAAAATACTCTACTGCATAGCATCTTTTTGTTTTTTAAAGATTTATTATTATTATTTTTTTATACAACAGCTGGGGGATAGGCCTGAAGCATGGGAGGATGAGAGGATTCACCAGAGACAGAGTGGGGAGCAGAACAGGCAGAAGGGCCAAAATACACTGACTGCTAAGGGGAGCAGCGGGCGCGACAGGAGAGGTCTGCCGCACCATATGGGAATCTCCCTGGCCGGCCGGGAATCAAACCCACACCGCAGAGGCTGCAGACAGCTTCACAGTACTGTGCTCAACCCGCTGCGCCACTGGGAAGGTCCCTAGACAGGTATCTTTAAAGGCTAAAAATGTATCTACCTCTGCTCAAGCCATCAGGTCCCCGTAATATCCGGCATTCTTCAATCTGTCCAAATGAAGAGAACATGACTCGGATGTCATTTTCAGTGCACTTCTTGGAAATCATACCAATAAACAGCTTCCTGTCTTCCACTGCTAAGAGAGTAAAACACAAAAGGCTTGACCATTATTACCACAAGAGGTAGTATAGCAGACTTTGTAAGTATACCACCTGGGTTTGAATCCTGGCTCTGTGCCTTTATACTGTATTTTCATGGATTCTAAGATACACATTTTCTTCATAATTTAGTATCACCTCTTATAAAGCAACAGTATTTTAAAATTATAATTGGAAGCATTTAGAACATTTAGAATTCATATTATATGAAATAAAGTCATTTTTGTGACTTGATAAAAGTTACTTAACCATTCTGTGCCTATTTTCTCATCAGATTAATAGGGTAACCGGGTTTATCTCAAAGGTAGTATAGGTATGAAATGATGTATTTAGCATCTTGCTTAGCACTTAGTAACATTCTTACCAACAACAGCACTACAGAAAAGATAAGCTTTTATACTTAATTGATATGACAAAAAGAAACAGAACACTATTCAGTGAGTGTAACTGTCCACTTTCTTTTTCTGACTATTCTTTTTTTTTTTTTAAAGATTTAATTTATTTATTTATACGAGAACCGGGGTACAGGCCAGATGCACAGCAGAGTGAGAGGATTCACCAAAGACAGAGCGGGGAACAGAACATGCAGACTGATGAAATACACTGCTGAGGGGAGCAGGGGACGAGACAGGAGAGGTCCGCCACGCCATGTGGGACCCTCGCCAGCCGGCCGGGATCGAACCGGTGCTGCAGAGGCTGTGGGCAGCTTCACAGCACAGCGCTCAACTGCCTGCACCACCAGGGGAGGCCCTCTTTTTCTGACTATTCTGTTGAGGAGGAAGTTCTCCTTTCAAATATGCTGATTAAGCCCCCTGTGAAACCTGTTTAACCTGTTTGGAAGAAATTATATTGATCAAAGACATCCCAGTTCACTCTGAAATGTTCTTGCAATGTTTCCCTATCGACCCTATCTCACTCATTAACTATGCTTATTTTAAAGAAAAAGACAATTTAGATGACAGATTAGAGCACAATGCAACCCAGATGCTATGAGAAACCTTATAGGGGAGGGTTTTATACACCTGCTTACCATTGTTCTTCTCACTGTCAGCAGGTTTCATCTGTATAGGATGATGCATCTGAAAAACACAAATATTATCATTGTACATATACATATTCACAAATATGAGAACTCCAAAGGAAATAACAAACTTAGAGTCATTCTCTGCTAACTCAGGTATGCCACATGATCTCCCCTCCCCCAGCAACCTATCACAATAGAATCTAAGTCACGAAGTCAAAACTCAGGTCTCCCTAGTGGCGCAAGGGGTTAAGTTAAGCACCACACTATGAAGCAATCCGCAGCCTCTGCTGCACAAATTGGATCCCTGGTCAGCCAGGGAGCAACCCACATGGCACAGCAGACCTCCTCCTGACTTGCCTACTGCTCCCCTCAGCAGTGTACTTCGGTCAGTCTGCCTGTTCTGTTCCCCACTCTGTCTCTGGTGAATCCTCTCACCCCCTGCACCTCTGGCCTGTACCCCAGCTCTTATATGCATAAATAAATATATCTTTAAAAAAAAAAAAAAAGGTCAAAACTCCCCTGCAAACCGAGAACTGTCAGTCTGTCTTCCTTAAAATACTCTATGTCCTTCTTTCATCAATGCCATGTCAATCGCCTTTTCCACTGCGTGCCCAAAACATATACATATGTAAAACTACCACAGTTCCACTTAATAATAGTGTAACAGGGTGGTCCCCAGGAAAGGGGGAGGTTCCCTGCCCCACCCCGGGCTTGTCTGGTTGTTTTTGACCCTTTTTTGTGGGTCCCCACTGGAAGATGCTTTAGACTTGGGGCAGGCTTTGGGGCCTTGCTCTGGGCCAATCCAATTTGGATGGACTTTTACCCACGAGGGGATGGGTAACTTTGGGTGCTTCATTTAGAAACTAGACTCTTTGCCTTACCTGTATTGTTTCCTAGTTTTATTAAAGTTCCTTCCCATTAAAGTCTCATATGTTTTGTGTTGATGCGGCGGATGGCAGAACCCATTTAAAATAGGCAGGTTTGCGGGGTTTGGGCTGCCCCTCTCCCTGTCCTATAACAATAGGAGCTTTCTTACCCCTGGGAGGACCTTCATATTGTGAAGAGCATTCTGAGCGTCTAATGCAGCTTTACGGGTGTAAAATGTAACAAAACAGCACCCTGCAACAAACAAAGTTTCACCAAATCAAACCAATCTTTGGAAAGCAGACAAGTTCTAGAACATTCCTTCCTCCAGACATACATGAATTTAAGAGAGGATTAAAATCAGTCAGGGAGGGAAAGAGGGTTGGGGGGTGGGGAGTATGGAAAGGTGGAAGAGGGAGGGAGATATTGACACCACCCATGTTAGAAAAAACCCTTATTTAGTTTCTCTTTAATTTTTCTATTGTTAGAGACTCCAAGTTCTACTAAAATTCTTCTCCACTGCTCCTGTAACTTTCCCAGGAGAGATGACTTCCCTTACAAAGGTCAGAGTGTTTTGCCTTTCACCCCAGGTAGCGTCCTGGGCAAGAAGACTCAAATACAAACAGGACACACAGGGGCCTTGTCCTCTTGCAACTTGAAGTCTACCAGAAACTGTCTCAGGATAAATCACTCCTTACGCTGTAAGTCATTTTCTACCATATGCCTCAGACATAAGTTGTAAATTATGATTTAAGAAGAATCTTTGTCTTTTTTTTTTTTTTTTGAGACTCCTGGTTATCAAATACAATTAAACTTCTAAAAGCACAAAAGACAACAAATTGAGATCTTGTAGAGTTTGTGTTTTGGTATCTTTATTGAGAATAGGGGAGAGAGTAAATCTTGGGTCCATAGTTCCATGAGGTACTACATAAATTTCTTTCAGAGTCACTCTGTAATTAATATTTTAAATTATTGGATACCAGTCTTTTCAAACAAATACTATACTTTTTATTTTGGGCTATACCACAGTGAAAACAATTCCTCTACTACTAAGCTGTTTCAATCATACTTGCTCACATTTACACTGTAGAAAAGCTTTCAAAGAAAATTACTCTGAGATCAGTCCCTTGGAAAACTAAGAGTATGTCTGTGATTGTGTAGAGGCAAAGCTAATGCCTTATCTACCATCAGTGCCGTGAAACTTCCACTCTACTGGTATTTTTGGAAGCAGCTCGGCCTTTTTTCTGTTCATTTTGTAGGCTACCACCAACAGGTTATCTACAAACAAGTTCCCCTTAGTTGCTAAGCAATCTTGCATGGCCTTTGTAACACTGACAGAAATCCAAGGACACTGGACAGTCTTTCTCTTACAGTACACTCTAGCCAAAGCACTAAAGAAAGCTTTGTGGTTGGTTCATTTCAAGTTTACTTTGGTCATTCCATTCCTAAGATTAAATGAGATGTTCACATGACTCTGTCTCTTGAATTTAGATTTCTCACACAGGGACAGCCCAAGATCTATAATTTACAGATTACCCTCATGATGCCAGCTTAACTTTAAGTCATTAAATGTGTTTGGGTTTTAAGTCATTTTATGACAGACACCATCCCCACCCAGCCCCCCAGAGTCACAGGAGCATTCTGGTAATGAGACAGCATGTACACAACATGACAGATGATAAATAAAACCCTCACCTTTGCTCTGAGGAGGATTCTGGCTCCTATCCCTTAGGACGTTGATTTCATAGACAGCACCATACTGTTCAAAGAGTTCCCTCAAGTCCTTCTCAGACCAGGTTCTCGGAACCTGGCCCACAAACATCTTAATAGCATCAAGATCTGGTTGGTCTGGGTGGTCCAGGGTGCCGTTCATTTTCTTTGAGCTGCATGAGATAAAATAAAACTTCTGTAATGCATTCACGCTGCTTTCCAGAGGGATTTTCTTTAAAGATTTCTACTATTTTCCAGAAGAGAGAGTGTATGTATGTTGGGGGGTGGGAAGGGAGGATTCTCTTTCCATTCAATTTACCAGAGCTCCCAGGTCAGTACTTCTTCACCAAGGCCACTCCCAATTCCACTGGATTCCAAACTAAAGTCACACAGCCTACGTTTTTACTAAGGAACGGGATGTCACTCATTCCTTGCCCAAAATGAGGACTCTTGAAGAACTTAAGAGTTAATAATACAAATTGTATTATTTTTAGCAGTTTATAAAACTTTCAAAAATGAACATAAAATCACAAAGGACCATTGATTATACATATTCAGAACTCTCAATGTGTAAAATAGGTAAAAATGCACACACACAGAGTAGCTATCAAAACATAAGCACCTGATTTCCAAGACCCACGCTAAGAACTGACAAGAAAGTTGGTTTTTTAATTTTCGCTGTCTTAAGTGAAATCCCAATTGCTCCCCCAGACCAAAATAAAATTCTACCTCTTAAATTTTAGAAAATGGCTGCTATTACACATAAAGAATGATGCCATTCTAGGTTGCTTTGTTTCAAACTCATCCAACTTACTGTTCATTCTTTAAGAATTCATCAAGTAGTGAATATAACCATATAATGTCCATAAGTTCCTCCAATCCTATCACACCACACTTGTAATGCTCCTACTTTACAGTACCTTCATTCCTACCCCTGACAAATGCTAATAACATAGAGGGATTCTAATATTATAAATGCTTCTATTCAGAACGAACGCAAGTCTTTCTATCTACAACTATTTCAACATCTTAAGATCATACTCATAGCATTATCTAAACCACTAACTTAAGTTTCAAGAAACTAGCATGATTAACTTTTCTGTTAAGTGTTTTGAGGTATGTATGATCCAGAAATCACACCTTCATATTCAAAATTCATCATGTCCTAACATCTAATCCTAAAAATGCTAGTTTTCTTTAAAGACAAGTTTTTCCAAACTCTATTTGTGAATAGTTTGTAGGTTGTTGAGTTGCAGAGTATATGAAAGTAATTCAACCAATCTTGTAATTTGTAAATCTCTTGTAATTGAACGTCTACAAGGTTTTTTGTTTTTTTTTTTTTTAAAGATTTATTTATTTATTTATACAAGCACTGGGTACAGTCAGAAACGCAGGAGGGTGAGAGAATTCACCAGAGCCAGAGCGGGGAACAGAACAGACAGACTGACGAAATACACTGCTGAGGGGAGCAGCGGGCACAGCAGGGGAGGTCTGCGCACCATGTGGGACCCTCGTGGGACCCTCGCCGGCTGCCGGGGATCCAATTGGCACTGTAGAGGCTGCGGGCAGCTTCGCAGCCCAGCGCTCAACCGCTGCGCCATCAGGGGAGGCCCTACAAGGAGTTATTTTTATATTACCTTTGCTGAATCTAATACTAAGTAAATATCAAAAGTTGTAAGACAAACGGCATACAGAATAACTTGTTATGTCTGGAAGATACTCTTTCAAGTTAACCAGTCTCAGTAATTAAAACTCAAACTGTCCTCACTCTCTACCCTCATTATAGGATTTACCATCTTTCAGCATAATCTGGCGACATCCATTTCTCCTAACTAGATAGAAATGGTTTTATTTCCTATTCATTGTTGTAATCAAAATTAGCATGTAACTATTATCAAACTTACTACTTAAAGGTAGAATGAGAGGGACTTCTAGTTCTCAACAATTCCCCCATTTACACAACTAATCATGATAAAAAACAAATGCTGTACACAAAGTGAGTTCTCAAATTAAAGAGCAGCTATTATCTCGATAGCCACACAATCAATTTACCCTTTTTTTCTTTTAAGTGTTTTGAAACACACACTGTTTTACCGATTTTCCTTTAACCTATTAAAACTATGAGGTTAAGTCATTACAAAAATATAATGCAACTGCTTTTAGAAGCCTAATCCTATAGTTCTAAGCAGAAATCACGCTACCATGATTTAAAAAAAAAATAAATTAATTAAAAAACCCTTACTAATGAACAATGCCAACAACCTGCCCCCAACAACTTTAATTACTAGTTTTAGTGTAATTTTATTAAAATGTTTCTAATCTTTAATCTATTTCTATTCTAGAGAGGATTAACGCAACCCCAAAAGTGTTCTGAACATGGTTTGTTGTTGACAAGGAAGTTGACAGCTATTTTTGAGAAGAGGCAGGGGTTTATTAATTTGTATTACATTGGAAGGCAACTGCTCTCAGCTTGTCCCTTCTAAATTATGTGCCATTTCTAAACTTTCTACATCATTGTTTAGTGCAAAAGCATTAACACAGTATATACACGGATCATGGTTTATTCAAGAACTCAGTGGAAACTCTCCATCCCAGACAAATGGCCTTTCTTTCTCTACTCTACAAATCCACCTCCATTTCTTAAGTCCATCTAATCTATAAGCCACCTTTCTCCTTTGCATCCCAATTCAATAGCCAAAAAGAATTTCCTAGAGCAATGCTATGCAAAATGGCCTATACCAGGGGCGATCTTCAAACTTAAGCCTTCAGCAACTTTTACAAGAAGTAAACTGCAATTTTATACGTTCAATCTAATAATAGTAATAAAAATTCCTCAAAATCAAGTTTATATCTTTGTTCTTCTCCTACTAAGATGTCTGTATTGTACTTTACAAATTGGGGGGAAGGGGAGACAGGAACAAGGTCCATTACCAGTTTGAGAAGCACTACTAGAGCACAATTAGGCCAGGCCAGGCTCAAGCTGCTGTGGAAACCATGCATCTGGAATTATGCATGATTATTCCTTCCTCCAATAAATAGTGTGTATTTAACTTGCACAGGCAAGGCACTTGATAGAAGTGGTTTACACTCGTAAGGAAGACACGGGGTATTTCTTTAGAGTTCATGAAGACGAAGTTAGAAATAAAAGTGGAAATAGCTACTAGAGATAATAAAGAAGAGAAGCAACCATACGGACACCTATGTGTATTATGACCAATTACAAACATTCTCCGCAACTATTACTCTATCTGAAGAGATGAAAAACATCTCTCTTTTATCCTCAACCTTCCACATATACTTTTTAGTACATATGTTGTTCTTAAAAACAAGTTAAAAAGTCATCACTGTAGGGTCTCCCCGGTGACGCAGCGGTTGAGCGCTGGGTTACGAAGCTGCCCACAGCCTCTGCAGTGCCAGTTCGATCCCCTGCTGCTCCCCGGCCACCAGAGGAGGGTCCCGCATAGCACGCAGACCTCTCCTGCCGCCCGCTGCTCCCTCAGCAGTGTCCTTCGGTCCTACTGCCTGCTCTGCTCCCCGCTCTGGTGAATTCTCTCACCCTCCCGCGCTTCTGACTGTACCCAGTGCTTGTATAAATAAATAAATAAATAAATAAATAAATAAATAAATAAATAAATAAATAAATAAATAAATAAATCTTTAAAAAAAAAAAAAAGTCAAAGGTGACAAGACTGCCACTGAGATGTGCAAAGACCCACACTGGCCAGGTATGGCATTTACTCTACATATCACTAAAGACATCCTCATATGTGCACATTACCTCTGCATTGATGGAGGGCTCCTTGGAGTGAGCAATCATGAATCATGTGTATTTATTACACCCACTCCACTCAAGAAGCATCAATGAATTTAGCTGTCCCCTGGATCAGTATCTACAGAGTCCCTGTCATTCCTAAGAGGCAAGTCTGTGGAGGTTCTTAACTTCTGTGGAAGTAATGCCTGCCTGACAGCAGAAGCAATAATGGCAACAACTGGCAGTTCATCCAGCACAAGAAATCAGGACTGGAGTCTCCCTTGTCTTGATTCTCAATAAACAAGCCACAGGAAAACAGAAGAGGGAACCACTTTGGAAGAGACAGGGAGGAAACAACAAAACTTTATTTTCAAAGCACACATTTATTTAAAATTCGTAAACCCTCCACCCTCGCTTCTCTTGGTCCTCTCTCAAAAGTTCTCAGCCCCAGGTCCAGCTAAGGGAACAACACTGATGTTCTGTCCCACTTCTTTCCTATCCCAAGTCAGGGGGTGGATCTTAACACAACATGCTGATCCAAGCTAAGACCGTGATCTATACTTAAAACAGTTCTGGCATTCAAGATCCTCTATGACTACACGCTGTACTAAGCAAGAAAATAGCCATTAGATGCATGTGGCCATTTAAATATAATTTTAAAAATCGAGTTTCTCAGTCACATTAGCCACATGTGACTAGTGGCTACTGCATAGGACAGAAGAGATAAAGAACATTTTTATCACACAGAAAGTTCTACTGCACAATGTTGCCACAGAATCTATAACTGGTTAGCAGAAACAGTTAGTGAAGTCAAAAGTGGAAAAGCTGACACCACACAGTTGAGTTGGTAAGATGAAAAGGCAGTAGGGCAAGAGGCAATAACAAGGGGGTCATGCTACAACCTAGGTGAAGCTTACAGACAGAATGCCAAGTAAAAGATGCCCATCACAGGGCCTCCCTGGTGGCACGGGCGGTTGAGCACAGTGCTGTGAAGCTGTCCACAGTCTCTGCAGTGCGGGTTCGATCCCCGCCGGCCTTGGAGCAACCCACATGGCGAGCTGACCTCTCCATCTCACTCACTGCTCCCCTCAGCAGTGTATTTTGTCACTCTGCCTGTTCTGTTTCCCACTGTCTCTGGTGAATCCTCTTACCCTCCTGCACATAAGGCCTGTACCCCAGTTCTTGTATAAATAAAATAAATCTTTAAAAAAAAAGCCCATCACAAAAGGCTACATATTGCACAATTCCATTTATATGAATATCTAGAACAGGCACATCAATAGAGGCAGAAGTAGACTAGAGGATGTCTAGGAATGGGGGTTTGCGGTAAGGAGGGGAGAGGGAACCTATGATTGCTAATGGGCTCAGGATTCACTCTGAATATATTCTGAAAATATTCTGTAATTAATGACAGTAACTGCA